CCTCAGATCTGAGTTTTTAGCTTGGGAATAGTTTTAAAGCAGCTAACATGGAGGTCTCACAGGTATAAAATACAGCAGTGCTCAAACTGTATACACCACTCTCCCTCCTAAGGACATGACCACATCTCACAAGTTTCATTTACATTTAGTTCAAAATACTCTTTAGTTTCTCTAATAATAAGTTTCCTTTTCGACTTCTGGGTTATTTAAAAAGATACAAATATATATTGGGCAGGTCAGATGGCTCTAGAGGCCTCTGCTGCCAAGCCTGACAACCTAAGGTTGATCTCCGGGACACACATGGTGGGAGGATAGAACCCACTTCCTTTACAAGTTGTCCTCTGACCTCCATCCACATTCAGACTGTGAAACATGTGCCACCCCCCACAAAATAAAAAATATGCTGAATATTTTGAAACTTTGAAACTGACTTTAGTTAATCTAAAAACATAATTAATATATTATTATGATTCTTTTCAATTTTACTGAGGCAAAGAATTTATTCTTAGAGAATATCCAGTATGCTTCAAAAGAATGTGTATTCCGCTACAATCTGGTGCAGAGTTCTTTTTTTTTACCATGTGGATCTGGTTGACAAGTCAGATCTCAGCAGAATATCTCACCTTTTTCCACTTGTCCTGATAATTACTAAGACAAATGTTGAACTCTCCAAGCATTATTGTATATTTGCCTATCTTTTTAGTATCATCTGATCTGTCAAAATTTGCTTTAATTGTTAAACTCTGGACTTTAAATAATAACTTTATAACAAATTAAAAAAATAAGTGGACATGGGTTGGTGAGGTGGCTCAGAGGTTAACAGGCACTGGCTACCAAGGCTGATGACCTCAGTTTGGTGCCTGGGCCCCATAGTGGATTCCTGAGAGCTGTCCTCTGACCTCTCCATGCACTGTGGCATGCATCCACCCAGGCACATGTGCACACTTTCACATGCACTGTGGCATGCATCCACCCAAGCACATGTGCACACTTTCACATGCACTGTGGCATGCATCCACCCAAGCACATGTGCACACTTTCACATGCACTGTGGCATGCATCCACCCAAGCACATGTGCATACCTCCATGTGCACTGTGGCATGCATCCACCCAAGCACATGTGCATACCTCCATGTGCACTGTGGCATGCATCCACCCAAGCACATGTGCACACTTTCACATGCACTGTGGCATGCATCCACCCAAGCACATGTGCACACTTTCACATGCACTGTGGCATGCATCCACCCAAGCACATGTGCACACTTTCACATGCACTGTGGCATGCATCCACCCAAGCACATGTGCACACTTTCACATGCACTGTGGCATGCATCCACCCAAGCACATGTGCACACTTTCACATGCACTGTGGCATGCATCCACCCAAGCACATGTGCACACTTTCACATGCACTGTGGCATGCATCCACCCAAGCACATGTGCACACTTTCACATGCACTGTGGCATGCATCCACCCAAGCACATATGCATACCTCCATGTGCACTGTGGAATGGATCCACCCAAGCACATGCACACATTAATACAAAATAAATAATAGCTTAAAGATTTTAATGTATGACTCTGTAATTTACAGCTCTATTGTGTTCCACTGATTCATATCTCTGCACACTAATTGCTCGCTTTCTATTTTTGTGTGTGCTGTGGATCAAATTCACGGCCTCACACATGCTAGGAAATGCTCTACCACTGAGCTACACTCCTGCCCAGAATCATAAGTGTTCAAATCCCTTTGACTTTTCTACCATATGTGCTTACTCTCCTTCCATCCCAATTAATTTTCTTTTTCAAAATAATCTTCTCTTTAATGAAATTATTGTCATCTAGAGCATGGTCATTAACTGCTCGATTCTTATTAAGTTTAATCTTACATTGTTTTGGTTTTTGAAAGAGGGTCTCACTGTGTAGCCCTGGCTAGCGTAGAACTCACTATGTGCACCAGGGTAGCCTTGAACTCACAGACATCTACCTGCCTCTGCCTCTTGAGTTTATGAGATTAAAGCATATGCCACCATGCCTACATCTGATTAAAACATTTTGTACAACTTTTTAAAAAATATTTTTATCTCTTTATTGATGATATAAAAGGAGCAGGCAAAACTCCTCTTTAAATGGGCCGGGCAGTAAATACCTTAGAACCACACCATCCCTGATAATATGAATTAACCCAGTCATTTTTATTACAGCACAAAGCAGCTATAGAATGTAATTTACAAGTGAAAGAAAGAGAGGCTACAATATTACAAATAAAAGCAGGCTATGAGGTAGCTGAAAAATCATAGAGAATTAAATTTTACGAAGGTACCTTGAAGTCTGACTTTGTAATATCTTTTCTAGTATTATTTCCAGTAAACTATTATAATTCTATGGAGGCAAACAAGTAATTTTGTCTTAACTGTCCAATATTATTAGCAATGATCGTACTTTGTATTCTTACACTATCACCAGCTAACTCCTCAGCGATAGTGTTGATGGCTGTTAATGGGCTCTCCTTTTCCACCCTCAAATATAATGTGATTTTTCTAAAAACTGTTCCTTATCATGTTCAGCCTTCAGTGATGACAGCTGCATGGATAGCATTTACAATACCATCAAATGCAGGCTGTTTCGTAATGACACCATTATTCCTACTTTTGGATCACAGCTAGAGACTGAGTAGTCTGAGCCGTCCATCTTCCCTCCCCAGTCCACTGACCCATTTTTGCCGAGTGGACACATTCCAACTCTTCTCCTTCAGTTTTTCAAATCTCAAGACAACACAGAGGAAAATTAAGTCTTTCCAGGGTTTAGAAACAACTAATAGGAAATGGAAATTTCATTTTAGATTTTTCAAGGTGTTTTCCTTTGAGATTTTTCAATAAAACAAATCATTGAAATGGCTTGAGTCATAAATGTGAACTTCATTGGAAGTTGAATGATACAGAGAGAATAAGAGTGAAAAGACTACAGGAAAAATAAATGAGTAGGAGCAGTGTGAGGATAAAATATGTAGTACTTATTTCTGAAAAGCCTCGGTCTAACACTTAAGTGTCATTAAAATATTTATTTAAAGTTGAAAGTTAACAAATACCTATGCTTATTTATAAATATTTTTAAACTTTCTTTAAATCAGCTTTCACACGCTCACAAAGTTGCCAATGAGAGTTGCATATTCCCACCCTGGGTGGAAAGTGACTCACTACTAGCAGTGTTCCAGTCAACCCCAAGTTTCTACCTTGAAGTAAACCTTCAAGAACGAAATCAAAATAAATCCAATTACTACTCCCATATTTATTACTTATATCCAGGAGAACTCAAAATAGTCCAGCTGTAAAGATAATGAAACACATTTTAAAAAAAGGTATGCTCATCAAGACATGAAATCACAATATCCTGATAAATAAAAATACTTCAGGCAATATATAGAAAATATTTTTAATAACATACAGTCCATCTTGGGAACATTGTTCTGTATTATATTATCTTATAGTAACAGAATGAAAATACAGTTACAGATGCAAATATTAAAAACCAATAATCAAAATGATATTTTTGTTCTACATAAATTACTATGTATATTATCAGTATAAATAGCTATAATCATCAACTTGAGTTAATGTCAAATATATGGCATATAATTATTTTTAAAATGAGACTTATCAATTCTAATTTAACCGATTCAAGTATTCATTTAACCAAAGCAATAAACCTCTTAAAAGTTCAGGATTTATAATTTTAGGAATTTTCAGTATGATTCACAGCTCTTATCCTACTGAACTGACTGTACAATACCCTTATCAATTGCTTTATGGGTTATAATTAGGAATGACTGACTGATTGCCAAAATCCCTTAACCAAAGAATCACTATAACTGTCTGAGGCAGAATCCTGATATGATGAATATAATAATGGCCAGAAGTTTTTAGCAAGAATATAGAAGTTTCACTTTCACAACTACGAATTTAGTTTTCCAAAATCTAGTTCGAATGTCCAGAATCTAAATCTTTCTACGGAGGAAACAAACAACTTAATGGACCTCTGGAGAAAAAGAAAGAGGAGGGGGAAGAAAGGAGGGGGGAGAGAGAAAGAAAATGAAGCTTTTTTTAGATCTTAGTTTGAAAAAAATTGGTTTAACAAGTAATAAAAAACATAGCATTATCATTACATTAAAGTTTATTTGCTAGCTAAAGATTAAGAGGCAAGTACCATATAATACTTGCTTCTGATAAAGCAGACAGAATGGTGTGTTAACTGTTAGGGCAGGGTAGAAAAGAAGTTTGGGCCTGACAAACATTTCCACTGAATTTACAGATCAACGAGCATTTTTGTTTGGGACTGTTCACTGGTGTGCTCGCATGAGGGCGAAGAGGGACTCTGTTCACCAATAAGGTGTTTCTCAGGGCAGCAGGACAAGGGCCTGGCTGCTCCAGGAAGGTAGCTGTTTCGTGGAAATCCCTAGGGCACTCTGGGACTATGCAAGTATAGGACACTAAAACCATTTATATTGAAAGTCAATCCATCCTAGTTAGAGTCCTTTTGAGTTATTCAGTTGCCAGTTGAGAGTATGGACCCTAGCTTCTCTAAAGACCATAGACAATACCTGCAAAATGCCCGTGAGAGGTCAACATATGAACCTACCATTTATTAGTCCCATGTTCTCCCTGAGTAAGGCTTGTAAGGCTTGGAAATCTTCTGAGGTTGTTGGCCACCTTTCCAAATAAAAGCTTAATCAATATATTTCAGTCTTTTATTGAACTCTAAAGACCCTTAACCCAAACAGCTAAGCTGGGGTTATTTTATGTAACCTTTGCTCCACTGAAAAACATGGGTGGGTATTTTGCCATTGTCCAGAAAGATCAAGTGAAAACAGTTCGCTCTGTGCCCAAAGATGCTGCCTTCAGTGAGATTTCAGAGAGAAAATCAGAGGGCAAAGTGCACGGCCAGCAGCGCCTTCAGCACAAGCTTCTTGGTAATCTCAAGTGAGAGGCGCAGTCTTTCTTAACTCAAAGCCAGAAGATTCTGAAGAACTTCAAGCACAATTTTATAACAAAAGTGATACTGCTCCTGCGCACACACAAACGACACGGTTAAGCAACCAGAAGCCAAGGTCTCCTTCGGGAGTACACAGCTGTAACATGAGAAAATTCCCCTCAAAGACCAAATGTTGACTACAAACCCTTGAGAGCTTCTTTAAGCAAGTATGTATTTAAATATGAAGAACATAAATAATAAAAATAAATGTCTTGGTGTAGGATTCTTTAGCAGACAAATATCTAAACAGAATGAAATGAAACATCCCTTTCCTTATGTCTTCTTTAGCTAATCTAAGGCTCTCATGTAAGTCTAACATCTCAAATATATACAACGGTTATATAATATATAACCAAATATATCCCTAATTATATATACATTTTATATATAGTATACATATCAGTTCAGAGGCAACTGTTTTTATTATAAATATTCTCTTTATTTCTCCTGGTGGTTAAAAAGTAATCTGTGATATTAAAAAATACCTTTTTACAATGTGCCAATAACAAAAAAACAGACAGACAGGTGAGAAATAGATAGATAGATAGATAGATAGATAGATAGATAGATAGATAGAGGCAAGTACACATTTCAAATTACTGTCTAGAAACCTAGAAATAACATTTGATATACTGCTTATACAGAATGTGGTCAAGGCCTGTGATTTCAGTCTCAGTGCCAAGTCCTCCCCTTGTTCTCTAAGTAACCCCATGGAACAGACTCCATTGCTGGAAATCTAATGTACTTCATCAAGGTTATCAGAGCAAAACAACTCCACCAAAGTTAAGAATTAATGCTATCACAAAGGTAAAAAGAGCACTATGAACTATAAAGCGCTGCAGTACACTAATCTGTGTCTTGGCTGTCCTTATTAAGGTTTACGAGAGGAGCACCTACCTTTGTTTGGATCATGCCACAACGCTGTTTTCTCATCTGGGTCACTATGTTCATAATGTTGAACTGAAATGAGATGGTGGTAACTGAATTATCCAGACAGAGGAAAAATGCCAACTCATATGTAGAGTACAAAAGTGAGCACTCTATACGTCCTTCTATTGAAAAGGGACGTCAAGACGTAACCAGAAAGGTCTCCTTCCCAGTCACAATAGCACAGTCCGATGACTAGGAAGGACTTGTTTCAGTCGACTTCTCGTGGGGAAGAAGGAAGCCATCATTTACAAGAAAGAATGTTCCCAAAAGGAGACCCCCTTTGTGCTACCAGGGAGAACTGAAAGCAGCACGGGCTCACATATGCTGTGCAGTGAATGTACATTTAGAACCCAGAGGTCATCTTTAGGTCTTATCCCTTGAGAGTTATCCACCTTATTTTTTGACCTTTTGGGACCAAGATTTTTTTATATACCTAAGTCTACACTCTATATTGAGCATTTAAGTATAAGGTTTTAATTAAGTATAATATAATTTAAATTATAATATAAATTATAACATATTTTAATAAGTATAAAGTATAAAGTTTTAATTAAGATTTATTTTACCTATTTATTGGGTATGAATAGCCATTTGTTCCAAAACCATTGTTGAAAAGGTTATTCTTCCTACACAGAATTGCTGGGACACCTTTATTTAAAATCATTTGGAGAATTCTGGCTCTGCAGTTTGTTCCATTGATCTGTGTGTCTTATTTTGTTGCTAGTATCAACCTTTGTATCTCTTTAACCGCATAAAATATTTAATATTAGATAGAGTTATTCTTTACACTTTATTCTTACATTTCAAAATTGTCTTAGGCAGTTTAGAATCTGTGTTTTCCAACATATACTTTTTATTATTAGTTTGTGTCTTAGTTAGGATTTCTATTGCTGTGATAAAAAGCAAGTATCTTGAGGAGAAAGGATTTATTTCAGCTTACAGTGCCATGTCATACACATTAAATCACTGGCAGAAATCAGAGCAGGAACTCAAGGCTGGAACTAGGGTTTCCTAGTTTCGTTCCCATCACCAACCTACCCAGATTTGGCACAAGTGACAATGAGCTAGGCCTTCCTATGTCCATCACAACTTAAGAAAGATTATTTTCAAGAAAGGCCAATATTATGGAGGCGTTTGCTCAGTTAAGATTTCTTCTTCCAAGATATGTCTCTAACATCTGTCAAGGTGACATAAAACTAGTTAGCACAGCTTGCTTGTGGAATTGTGGTAAAAATTACCTGCAGTCTATATACGAATTTTTGGGAGAACTGACAATTTCCAGAATTTTCATGAATTTAGCAAATCCATGAACATACTATATATTTCTTCATTTTTTCCTATTTTTGTTTTGTTTTATTTTTCAGGACAGGGTTTCTCTGTGTAGCTTTGGCTGTTCTGGAACTCTGTAGACCAGGCTGGCCTTGAGCCCAGAGATCCACCTGCCTCTGCCTCCTGAGTGCTAGTATTAAAGGTATGAGCCACCACCGCCCAGCTCAAACTGTCTCTTGCACCCAGTTTAGGAGAAAAGTAAGGGATTGCTAATGTTTGGCTCACACCTGTGTATAATTCTCTCCTCATTTTATGCTAAGAAAACTGACTTTTAGGGCTAAAGAAACAGCCCCATGCTCAAGAGAGCAAACTGCTCTTGCAGAGGACTTGAGTTCAAATCCCAGTACCCATGTTGAACAACTCACAACTACCTGTAAACTCCAGCTTCAGAAAAATCTGAACCCTTTATTCTCTCTGGCATGTGCACATACACACATATACACATAGTTAGAAATGTTAAATCACAAAACATAAAATAATACAGCTGATATTTGAGAGAGGATGAGAGACCTATATAAAGTCACCCAAATCTAAAGCATATAGTAAAATTGTCAGTTAAGCCTAGGGACCTCTCATTAATCCGAGCTCAACATGTTTTCAGTATACATGCATGTCAGATTTGTTCATGGAAAGCAATCACACTTCACTGAAATTACCTAGAAAAATGGTAATGCCGTAAGTGGCACACAGAGGAAGGAAATGAATGCACATTTACAGAGTGTCCATTCCTTTCCACACTATCCTAGCCATTTACTTGTATAATATGCTTTAATCCTCCCCACTATTCCCAGGAGCCTGCAGCAAGCGCAGTGAGAATGAGGTCTCCTAAGCTACTGCGCATCTGATGTGCTCCACTGGTCCAAGTCAGTCTTGCAGTAACACCAAGCTGTTAAGAACTGTGTTTAGAGACAGCCTCAGTCCATCTGCGTCATCACACACTTACAGACAAATTCTTCTCGATGGCACAGAACACAACATCCACACATATGAACACCCCCGTACGGCCTACACCAGCACTGCAGTGAACAACCAGGGGTCCTGAGATGTGGCTCTTCCTCACATAACGGACGTATTTGATGAAAAAGTCCGCTGAGGCAGGAGTGCCATGGTCTGGCCATTTTGTGAACTGCAAGTGTTTTACACGGTGACTCATTCCTGTCTGTTAAAGAGACACAGAGAGGTTTATTGATTTCTTATATTAGAGGTCTCATTTCAACTTCTAATATACCAACAACAGCAACAACAATGATGATGGAGATAACACAAACTGGTATACAGAGCATTCAGAGTACTGGAACCTAATTTTGATGTTTACAGAAACTCTGGAAGTTGTCAGAGTTAGCTTTTCTCCATCTAAAAAAGGAGAACACAATAATGAAAACAATAAAAATAAAAATGCTCTCAGGAGGCAGGACTTCAACACTTGATCCACACCAGGTAATGTGGCAGGAATTTCACATCAGTTATAATTTAATCCTTATATCATCATTTTTAGAGGCCAGGGTTGGGAGGTAAATGCTAGGTCACAAGGCTTCCACAGTTAGAGCCTGGTTTGTATGTATGCCTTTCAAATCCTAAGCTACCTTTTCTTCTTCTCTATCATGAGGCTTCAGAAAAACCAAGATTTCAAAGTATTTAAAAGTAAAAAATAGGCTGACACATTCAGAAGAATCTGTACATTCTGGTACAGTAACCAAACTTAGGCATGGTTGACATGGTTTCAAAACCCTCTTCGTGTCATAAGTCGCAAATCCTAAGCACCTTATTAAGTGTGGCAATTTTATTTAAAACAAAACAAAACAAACAACAATTCCACCTGTGAGTGTTTCATCCCAGTTACCACTTATTAAATTTATGTTCTTTTGAAGAAATAGGGTATGTTCCAGCTGGTCCCTGCTTTATGTTTATAGTCACACTTTATTTCTCATTGTCCCTTGATAATGAATGAATTTACGTCCCAGAGCATTTAACTTTTATGTATATGGGACTGTGTGTGTGTGTGTGTGTGTGTAATGTGCATGCCTAAGGCAATTTCTTTTTAAACTGTCTGCTTCCTTTCCTTCTCATCTAAGTCCTGCACGTTCCCGGTGTGATGTTGCCCCCAGTCGTCCTTTTCTCCACCTTCAGGTAAAACACTAGGTTTCCCCATCTTAGCCCCAAAGTGCCCCATGTGAATCCAGTCACTGTGGCTGAGCACAGCAGCTCAAGAACGGGAAAATACAGATATCTCCTGGCTCACTGAGTATGGTGGAATCCAGCAGTAGTAAGCACGCTTGTCTGGGCAGAAGCCACCAAAGCACATCACAGGGCCATCTAGTGCCCACTCCCTGACCTATTTTCCCTCTCCATTTTCTTTTCTCTCCAGTTTGACTAAGCAGAAGTGAAAATTTATAGCTTCATTTTTAGAGAAAAAGAGGCTAAAAGTTACTTTTATTTTTCTATTAGAGACAGGGTCTCTCTAAATAGCACTAGCTGTCCTGGGATGCTCTCTGTAAACCAGGCTGGCCTCGAACTTAAAGAGACTGTCCTATCTCTGCCTCTGGAATGCTGGGATTCAAGGCATGTGCCACCACCACTGATCACAGTTACGTTTTTCCCTTTTATTTACTTTATTTATTTTCTTCATTCCAACCGCAGCCTCATCTCCCTCCACTCCTCCCAACCCTTACCCTATCTCAGATCCATGGCTCCTCCATTTCCCTTCAGAAAAGAACAGACCTCCCAGGGTTATCAAGCAACACAGCATACCCTTAGTGCCTATTCCACCCTAGTGGAATATGGCAGCTTCTATCATAAAGCATGCATCTACTAGCAGCAGTTTAAGACTTACGGACTTCTTCACAATTTGAAATATTTGAATGATGAAATATTGAGTTATCTGGCAGTTCTCCAGAAGGATGCTCAAGTGTTTCAATTCCAAAGGTTCCTTCAGAGAAATGGGCCAGTACCTCTGACACTTGATAACTCCACCTTCTATCTCTCTGGTTATCATAGCAATAACATTACAATTATTTTCCATAACCATTTGCCAGAAGTCTTCTATAGTCTCTGGCAGTGGTCCTTGAGTAGCAATATAAAAATACTCTTCTTCATCATTTTCTATTCTAATATAACTAGCATTGATGTAGTTTTTGTTTTTTCCAAGAGGAACACGTGTTGAATCATCTATTATAGAAACAGAAACATGTGGTGAAAATATGGAAGAGTGGGTAGACAACCCATCCAGACTTCATAAAGCATCCCACATAGGTAAATCCATGACCCTCCCCTCGAAAACTGGCACACAAGATTCTTTTCAAAGGGGCTAAGTTTAAATTCACTCCTCCATAAAACCTATTTGCAAGACATGATAAATACACAGCCAGGAGGATACTGAGAGCAAGAGCCAGCGCCAGCGCCAGCACCTGTGACATGCAGCAGTCTTAGACCCAAGGGTGTCTGGTGACAACTACTCTGCAACTGAGTACAGCAGCTGTCGGGGACAGCAGTGAGTGGCATTCTCCTGAGAATCAGGGAAATCTGTACGTATGTGGCAGCAGAGACCATAGTTTTTACAGAATGGCTTGATAATGGTTTAGCAACAAATTCTAGTATTAATGGAATTCCACCAATGCCCTTATTGCAGCCAGGCAGCCATATTTTCCAATCCTTCCTCAGCTTTCACTGGGTGAGGTAATGTGCCAATCAAAACAAGGTGTGGTGATTTGAATGTAACTGGCCCATATAAGCTCATAAGGAGTGGTTCGGTTAGGAAGTGTGGCTTTGTTGCAAAAGGTATGGCCTTGTTGGAGGAAGTGTGTCACTGCGGGGTGGACTTTGAGGTCTCATATATGCTCAAGCCATGCCTAGTGTCTCAGATCACTGCCTGTTGCCTGCGGGTCAAGATGTAAGACTCTTAGCTCCTCTCCAACACCATGTCTGCCTGCATGCCACCATGTCACACCATGATGATAATGGACTAAGCCTTTGAAAATGTAAGCCATCCCAGTTAATGCTTTTCCTTTATCAGACTTGCTGTGGTCATGCTGGCTCTTCACAGCAATAGAAACCCTGAGACAGACACAAGGGAAGTGGCAAAAAGGTGGTACTGGTACTGAAAGAACTGGCTCCAAATAGCATGGGACTTGTCTCACACTGTTAGAAAGTACAAGAGGGAAACTGGCATTTGGCCCATAATAAACTTCACCGTCCAGGAGCTCTTGATTTACTGCACACAGACATCTGGAGCTCTGTTCCACCACTGCTCCCACGTAAAAAGCATCAGTGTGTTCTGCTCAGGGCCTTCCCTGCCACAGTGTTCTTCTCACCAGCTACTTCTCTTACTACTCAGGATGTCATGAGCAGTCATTTAGCAACTACGCTATGCTTAATGGTCACCAAACAAGGTCTGTGGAGTCTGACAGAGTCTGTCTTGAATTCCAACGCAGTATAAGAACTCTCTTATAAAGATGAACAGGAAAATCTGTTGCTAAATATAGAAAAACAAATATTTTCAAATGGAAGTAAAGTCAGTACATGCTGTTAACTGACAGGAATGTACTTTATATAAGCATTTTTAATATTGAAAAGGGAGATTAGAAGTGTTAAATAATTCAACCAAGTCTGGCTTAGAGATACAAACCAAAAGTACTCAATTCAAACTCCTGCCCTACTTGTCCCATTCTATGCAGCCTCTTGTAGGCTTCACAAATCCAAGCAATTATTACAAGCTTTGTGATTCTCAAGAAAAGAGTCAGCTTTGCAGAAAGCCACCACTTGACTTGGAATAACATTAAAGAAGAGAGTTGTTAACAGCTTAAGGTCAATGTCATGGAAGTTAACAACTACTTTCTGATTGGATTAAAGGTACACTCCATAAGATGAAACCCATCCTGGAAACCATTAGTGGCCCAGAACCAATGACTAGACAGTTACTACAGACCCTAGGGTAAAGCCTACTATGATGGCTGCTAAAAGGCCAGAGTATTAAATCAACTCCTAATGACCTATCATTATACCCATATATTAAAGTATATCTCAATCCTCATCAGAGGCATTTACATTTATAGTAGATAGTAATCAATGCACAGACCCACAATTGGGCAAAATTCCTAATTGAGAATAACAAACTGCAGAATGAATGTTCAGCCCTAAATGAAACATACACACCCCACTCTTCCCTCCAAAGGCTCGGGCTCCACTGTAGAAGAGGGTACATAGGAACGTAAGAGCCAGAGAGGTGGAGGGCAACAGGAACGTGCTTTGTGGATACAGCAGGCAGTTGCGTTTATGAACTCACAGCAGTTGTTGCAGCAGACATAAGACCTCTGAGAGCCCAAGTCAGACCAAATGCCAGCATGGAGAGGAAAGTTGGGTGCAAAGTTCCACCCCTAGCTAAGGCGCTACTGGCAACTGATAGCTGCTGGAAGAAGTTTTCTCTAAGAGTGTGCTGAGACATAGACCATGCTCCAACAAAGGCCCACACATTCCAGAACGTTTGGACAGACCAGGTTGGTCTTTATGGGGAAAGGGAGGACATAAGTCTGGGTGGGAAGGGAAGGGGTGGATCTAGGAAGAGCTGGGAAGAGTGAATGTGATCAAAGCATAAACAAAATCCTCAATGACCTAATGAAAATATCTCACCACCACCACAACAAAGACAATGAGAAGTCACACAGCCAGAAGGCAAACATTGTGCTGATGGCTTATTAGAGTGGTGTTGCTCCTGTGTGTACCCCTTAGTCTCTGAACCCTAGCCAGGTACTGTGTATACACACAGTCTCCTAGAGAATACTGTCCCAAGAAGAGAATGTCACCTATTTAGCACTGTATCCAACCACTATATCAAGTAAGTCTCCCCAGAATGGTGAGTTCCTTTGTGCGGCACACCCATGATGGTGTATAAGGCATTCTGTAGGTCTACAGAAGGTATATTTGGAAAAAGCACGGTGTCTAGGTAAGAAAAATCCATATACAGAGCAAATTTATCTTTTGTTTAAAAAAAATCACTATCTCTTTCAGATAGAAGTGGCTCAATTATAACCTGCCATCTCAAGGAAAGGTTTCATGACAGGGACTCAGTGCCGGTCCAATGCTTCTGGAAGCCCAGATACTCATCAATGGTTGCTCTTGGTAAGTGGCAGGAAGTCTACAAAACTGAATCCATACATAACCTCCAACAATGCTGAGTAGGCTGTTTTTTCATGAGCTACTGAAAACTGGCAGGGTAATCAGGGAAAATGACTGTTGTCCATAGAATAATATTCTATCTGCATGGCTACTGCCCCTGTTGAAGCCACTCTTCATGAGTGCTCACATGAGACATCAGGATCTATGTGGACTGTGCTCATTTAGAAAGCTCTAGCTACATACATTTTCCTAGACCTTCTCTTACTAATTGTTCAGTCATATTTTTCCAAAGCCTTGACCATCCACCCAGTTAAGGCACTGGCTTTCACTTAAGCTTACCCTCCAACCATTTCTCTCCAAGAAAAAAAATGAACAACCAAGTATACCAACCAAAGTTATTCCCTCACCATTACACTTCAGAAATGTCTCAAAATGGTGGTGCAATTGTCAGGTGACACAGCAGATCTATGGAAACAATACAGGCCACGTGGAACCCTCCCTTTGCTTCCCTTTGGGAACTCTTCATAAGAACATAAGTACAAGCGAGGGAGAGAAAGCAGTATACCAGGAATAAGGATCATAGATACTTAGACAGTTTTTTCATGGAACTTATTTGTGCCTTCAAGGTTGTGAGGGGTTGAGTGAGGATGACTCCCATAAGCTCTTAAGTTTGCATGTCTGTTCTCCAGGTGTGGGACTGTTTTCAGGAGGTTAAAAGGTTCTGTCTTACTGGAGGTGGTGTGTTTCTGGGTAGGCTTTGAGAATTCAAAAGCCCATGCCACTTCCCAGGTCTCTTTCTTTGCCTTGCACTTGTGGATTAGGTGTGAACTCTCAGCTACTGTTCAAGTTTCATGCTGGTCTGACTGTTAACATGATGTTCGTGGACTCTAACCCTCTGAAATCATGAACTCCCAAATTAAATGCTCTCTTTTATAAGTTGTCTTGGTCATAATGCTTTGTCACAGCAACAGAAAAGTAACTAAGAGGGTCTACTCGAGAAGAATCTCATGTCTACCATATTTCTCTGCTAATAAGTGCTGTTGTGTATACCCACCTTAATATCTTGCTTATTCACATAGAAGCAATCTCTACTTAGTTCTCTTCTATGCAGTCTCTGCTAAGGTGTAATAGTAGGCTAAAGCCTGCCTCTCCAAAGGAAAGCAGTTCACAGAGGGATTGCAGAGCATTCCTTCAAAATCCTAAGACACTTTGGAGTAATGCAACAGGTTCTAAACACCACAACTGCCACCAACCATTACATCTTCTGAATTTAAGTGGCAGAGCCTTCCACAGTGGTCTACATTTGTGGCAGAGCCTTTTTTAGAATTCCCATCTAAAAGAGGAATATGTTGCCACCCAGAGGCTAGAGAGGCTCAAGAGACATTGTGACATCATTTTTGGCTTGAGAAGCCTTATATAGTAATTTATCTTTCTTCATAGAAGAGAGTATTGCAAATTGTCCCACAAATTTGGATCCCTTGAAACTTCAACCACAGAAGTTCCTTTTAAGTGTATTTTCCATTCTCTGATATGAAAATGTGTTACAAAAAAGTCTAGACTATTTGCTACTGTTTTCTCACCATAATGGCCTATAGAAGGAAAAGATGTTGAAAGCCCTTTGAACTAAATTATGACAGAACTGAAAAGTTAATCTATCCTGAGTTCAGACAGTGAAGTGAAAGCGAGCTACTTCTAGTCCATCCACCTCCTCAAAAAGTCTCAAATCTTTTGTTCACTTGTTGTTAAATTGTTGTTCTTTGAGTCATAGAAGTTCTTACTATATTATAAATGCATATCCTTTATTAAGTAGATTTTTGTACTTAATTTTTTTCTAGCCTGCTATTTGCCATTTTGTTTTTAAGATGGCATAATTAAAAGCACATTTTTTTTAAGAAAGTTTGATGAAGTCTAATTATTTTTCCTTTGGCAGTTTCAGAGTTTTGTGTCCTGCTGAGAAATTTTTTACTTAATCTAATGATGCTAAAAAATTTTCTTTGGTTTTACTCCAAGAAGTTGTATGCATTTATGTTTTTAATTTAAAATATTTTATATGTATTTGTGTATGTATCTGTGTGTCTATGCCATATGTAATGTGTGTATGCACATGTGTGTATGCATACACATGTGTGGAGAACAAAAGAAGGCATCAGACTGCCTGAAACTGGAGTTACAGGCAGCTGTGAGCCATCTGACATGGGTGCTGGGAACTGAACTTGTGTCCTATAGAAGAACAGCCTGAATTCTTAACTACTGAGCCATCTCTCCAGTCCCAAATATGACTTTTATTATATTTAGTTTTGTGACCTATTTTGAGTCCATTTTTATATAAAAGTATGAAGATTAGAGAATTTTTATATAAATATGCAGCTAACCAGAGTGTTAGTTGAAATAGTATCTTTTCCTTATTGTTTTGCAACCTCAAATTCACATATTATTATCTTCCCTGCCCTCCTTGCATTTTTATAAAGAATATCCAGAAATCTGAGACACTATCTTGACCTAGAGACAAGTAACTGAAAAGATATTCCACTTGGAGTTGGATACTTGACATACAATGTGTTTTCACTTTAATAGCCATTAAAATGGTTTGCCAGTTATAAAGTGTTAAATAAATACACTATATTGTGTTTCCACCTGGAAACCCTTGTAATAAAGGCCTTCCTTGCTTTGCATGATGGTACAAGGTCAAAATATGACTATGCAAAATGAAGTTTCAAAAATCTTAATAATCAATAGAAAAATATCATTGTTTCATGGCCCTTACAATTTTTGTCAAAGCTTTAAAAATTTTCCTATTGACTATAAATACACAGAAAAAAAATTAAAGCAAGATTTGTATTTATTTTGAATACTAATCTAAAACATTAGAAACACTGAGAATAAAAGCCCTTCATTTTTAGTTTGAACAGGGTTTGCACTTCCTTTCAATGTATAACTCAGGGCGAGCCTCTTATTTTATTCTATCTTGATTGTCATGACCCTGCCTACATTTGCATTTGTTCCTATCATTTTGCCCTCTGTGTTTCCTTTGTCGAGGAACTAGAGTTCCTGCAATGCAAAGCCAGCACATTTCTAGGTGCTCTTCATCCTGGTCATCCCAAACTTCCTGCTTTTATTTTGGTAAGCCACCCTTCAGCAAGTCCCTGGATGCAGCAAAAGAGACTTTTTTTCAATATCAAATGCTCCCAGCCAACTATTGATTCTATAAGGTCAGGTGTGTTAAATTCTAATTGTATCCCCAGAATCATAATTTTTCTTTTCTTAGCTGCCAATGACTGATATCTTTGTAGAGTGCCACGTGGGTTCTCACTGGGAGATGAAGGGCACAGCATACAACTGCATGCTTTGCTGTTTGTTCACACAACACAAACAGATTTAGAAGGAAGTCAGGTTAGTCCTTGGTATGCTGCCCATCTTTTACTGACAGTAATTTGCACACTTAGGAGTGAACAGGCATATTTGCTATGTTTGCAACTATTCACAGTTAATACAATGACAACTGAAATCTGATTCATGTTTTAATATTTTAAACAATATATTATGTAAATAATATATGTGCATGTTAGACTTTGGAAGGTGAAGACTAACTGAAGTGGAAGAAAATAAATGAATTTTGGCCTTCTTGACATGTCGTTAGAACTTCCTCTGTATATGTGATGAAGAAACCAAAGATGTTTTCCCACCTACATAGGCTGACACTCAGATCATACTAGATTGTACAATGGTTCTCACCTACACAGGCTGACATTCAGATCACACTAGACCGTGTCATGGTTCTCACCTACACAGGATGACATTCAGATCACGCTAGACTGTGTCATGGTTCTCACCTACACAGGATGACATTCAGATCACGCTAGACTAGACTGTGTCATGGTTCTCACCTACACAGGATGACATTCAGATCACGCTAGACTAGACTGTGTCATGGTTCTCACCTACACAGGATGACATTCAGATCACGCTAGACTAGACTGTGTCATGGTTCTCACCTACACAGGATGACATTCAGATCACGCTAGACTAGACTGTGTTATGGTTCTCACCTACACAGGATGACATTCAGATCACACTAGACTGTGTCATGGTTCTCACCTACACAGGCTGACATTCAGATCACGCTAGACTGTGTCATGGTTCTCACATACACAGGATGACATTCAGATCACGCTAGACTGTGTCATGGTTCTCACATACACAGGATGACATTCAGATCACGCTAGACTGTGTCATGGTTCTCACATACACAGGATGACATTCAGATCACGCTAGACTAGACTGTGTCATGGTTCTCACATACACAGGATGACATTCAGATCACGCTAGACTGTGTCATGGTTCTCATATACACAGGATGACATTCAGATCACGCTAGACTGTGTCATGGTTCTCACATACACAGGATGACATTCAGATCACGCTAGACTGTGTCATGGTTCTCACATACACAGGATGACATTCAGATCACGCTAGACTGTGTCATGGTTCTCACCTACACAGGATGACATTCAGATCACGCTAGACTAGACTGTGTCATGGTTCTCACATACACAGGATGACATTCAGATCACGCTAGACTATGTCATGGCTTTTACCTACACAGGCCGACATTCAAATTACACTAGACTGTCAAGTTTCCACCTATTCGTGCTGATAATCAGATCACAGTAGACTGTGTCATGGTTCTCACCTACACAGGATGACATTCAGATCACGCTAGACTAGACTGTGTCATGGTTCTCACCTACACAGGATGACATTCAGATCACGCTAGACTAGACTATGTCATGGTTCTCACCTACACAGGATGACATTCAGATCACGCTAGACTAGATTATGCCATGGTTATCACATACACAGGCTGACAAATCATCTTAGACTAGACTGTTTTATGAAGTAAGCAAATCTTAAATCAGAACTTAGTTGAATTATAGTTTAAATAAAGCAAAAACTTTAGGATGATTTTCCTATTTTTAACCATTTAAGTGAACATTTTTTGTGTCTCTGTACCTCCTTGTCAACCTTTGTGCCCAGGATAGAACTCAACCAGGATCAAGTACACATAAACTTTACTCTTAAAATGCACTTATTCCCTCTTAAAATCCTGAGAGGATCACTTTTTAAAATCTTTTTGACTTTCAGTTTCCTTGATGAATAATTGCACATATCGGGATAAAAGTCAATATATGAGACCTTTGACCTTTCAGTGTAGCACCAAATGGTTTGCAGCACTAAAATGTTGCATAGGGGATAGTTATGGATCTGATTTTCAGAAGTACTAGTGAATTTCATATTGTCTCACAGAAGATAACAAAGTACATCATTTTAACCATCTTGAGAGGGTACTCATTGATTTATAATCAATGTTATTTAAGCTGGTATGAGCTGACAAAACACAAAGGTGTCTATTTTATCTTGGCAGACAGTGTCCTGCTTTGATTCTCTCTAGAGAAACAGCAAAAATCATTAAAGAATAATTTGGAAAGTGGGAAAAGTACTGACTAACAAGACACTAGGACACTTGGGAAATCAGCACATCTAGCTTTGTGGAAAACAACAGAGGCTGAACTGACAAGCTCTAGATGACAAGGATAACTACAGCAGAGAAAGGAGACCATTCTTGCATGGGTTGAAGATTTAATCATTTGGAGGGAAGAAAAAGAATGACTTTTAGAAACATAAAGCAGGTACAGAGACAACCAGACAAACACCACAGAGAAAATCAGCATGACTGTAACACAGGGTCACAGAAGAGGATGGCTGGGTGTCCTCACTATGAAAATCCCTCAGCAGCTCTTGTGAATGGGTAGGAAAGGGGCAGGATGAAGACGAAATCAGCTGAGAGGTGAGAGAAAATTCAGTCCAGGTTGGCAACACTGTCAACAGAGAAGGGTGGGGGATTCCAGAGGCATTAGAGAGGTCAGAGGGAAAGAACTTCCAAGCACATTTTGTGTATAACAAATGACCCAGCCTTCGGGCTTGAACAGTGGATGGTTACAGTAAGACAGTAGTTAATAATGGAAGCTGGTCAAGTTATTTAAAAAAAATGGTAAATTTGACTTAGAAAATTCTGATTTTGAAAGAGATGATCATAAAATAAAATTTCCATTAAGTCTGCAGTATCTTATTTTTCTTTCTGTTCTCTGGATGGTTGAGATTGACAAATATGGTGAGAAAATATACAGAAAAGAGAACACCGTTCTTTCTACCTTCTGCCCAATGCATGGAAGCTACAGGTAGAACCCTGTTGATATAATAAAGCTGCTGCCTGTTGGGCAGTAGATTGATGAGTTAGCATGAATGTCTAGGGCAGAGGACATAAATAGCCCCACTGTATTTTAATGTTTAAACAAACTCTAAAGAAGGTAGCCAGGCTTCGGCTACCAGGTGACAGATGGCAGCTTAATAAACAGACTTTGTTTTAGATGGCAATCAGACTAATGGGCTGTATAAAGAACTCATTGACAGTATTCAGAAGAGATGCCACAGGTGCTTAATACCAGAGTTCTTCATGATAAAGTTCAAAATGTGTCATACAGAAAGTCAGTTTTTACCTTTTCCCAACTGTTAACAGGAAAATAATTTAAAATGCTCTCAGCTTACATGGAAGAATATCTCGGTATCTGTTTTTGTCTTTGTTGAGTAGTTCATTCCCACAGTTGAAGTCATCAGGCACAGTCATTTGTTCTAACTCCTGCAGAAAGGAAAACAAACCACATATTTACCATTTAAAAAGAAGAAAACCCTCCATTTGATTAGCACTGATTATCCTTAAATTCTGTGTGATATGACCTGCTATTCAATGTTACACAACAAAAAAGAGAAACTTGAATCTTGTCTAATAAGGATAGCTGCATAGAATATACTAAGTTAAGAGAATGAATCAATGAGTTGCTTGATTTTTTTTTAAAAAAAGGTAATTCTCAAGATAGTTTTTTCCCTGAACACTATTGTTTACTTTTTCATAAAAAATGAAATAGAGTATTTAATTATTAGGATCTAATTATAACGCTATCATTTTATAAAAAAAACTATAACAGAAACATTTTAAAACCCTATAAGAAGCCTTAAAATTTACTGCTTGAAGAAATTATAGCTGGGATAATGACTAAAGAAAGCTCTTTCTCTCAAAAGATTTTTTTCTTTTTATAAGATTTATTTATTTTGCATATAAGAATGTTGGATCTGATGTGTGACTTTATGCCAGAAGAGGGCATCAGACCCCACTATAAATAGCTGTGGGCCACCATGTGGTTGCTGGGAATTAACTCAGGACCTCTGGAAGAGCTTTTAATGGCTGGGCTATCTCTCCAGCTCCTCAAAAGAAATTCTTAAACAAGTATGAATTCACCAAAATTTATTAAGCATTTAGTTCTAGATATTGGAATAAAAAGACAAACTAGAAAATTTTCCCATCCTTAAGCAGTGAATAAAGAATATTTATCAAATATGTGACTTATAGAAATAATAGTGTTAATGATAGTATCTAAAGATACATAAGAAAACACCAAGAGAGTAAGCAGAATTTAGCCTTGGTCTTAGGGAACTATCAAAACGACTATGTGATGGAGGAAGGTCATTGGTTAAATATAAAGAAACTGCTTGGCCCTCATTGGTTAGAAGATAGGTGGGAGGAGTAAACAGAACAGAACGCTGGGAGGAAGAGGAAGTGAGCTTAGACTCCACAGCTCTCCTCTCGGGAGCAGACGCCTCAGAGAGACGCCATGCTCCCAGCTCCCAGGCAGATGCACGCGATGAAGCTCCGACCCAGGATGGACATAGGCTAGAATCTTCCCGGTACAGTTTATTAGAAATGGGTTGATCGGGATATCAGAATTAGCCAGTAAGGGCTAGAGCTAAAGGGCCAAGCAGTGCTTAAAAGAATACAGTTTCCATGTAATTATTTTGGGTAAAGCTAGCCGTGGGGGCAGCCGGGTGCCGGGGACGCAGCCCCGCCACTCTTATTACTACAACTATGTGAAAAGTAAAGTGAGTGGAAGGATGCAGGAAGGGTGGATGTAACATAGTAACAAGAGCCCAGAGCATCTCATCTAGCTCAGAGATATGATAAAACTAGGCATCATTCCCTATGAGATCCATGGAAACCAATACCTGGTGGACATAAGAGGTGAGACAACAGTGGCCCTGGGACTCCGGACCCCCCACTCCCTAAAATCTCCACATGGGAGAAAGGCCAGGGCTCCCCCCTCCCCAGGTGCCTTCTGCATTCCTAGCACCAGCAGGGTGCTGGTCTGCTAGACAGCCATATACCCCGCCCCAAATGCGTCCTTCCCTGCGAGCTCCGTGGAGACCAATACTTGGTGGGCATAAGAGCAGCCAGCAGGTAGCTTGTCTGCTAGACAGTCATCTATTCTGCCCCCAACGCATTGTTCCCTGCAAGCTCCATGGAGACCAATTCTTCGTGGACATAAGAGACATAAGAGCTGAAGGAAGAGATGGGGAGGCACCAATGCAAGAACTCCTCCAACATCCTAAAAAGCAACATATTACCACCAGAACCCAGAGGACACACAACAGGAAGACTTGATCATCCTAACCCGAAGATATAGAATAAAATGACTTTAAACATTACTTAACGAAAATGATGGAGACCTTTAAAGCAAAAGTGGAAAACCTCCCTTAAAGAAATGGAGGAGACAAACAAAAACTGGAAGAAATTAATAAATCCCTCAAAGAAAATCAAGAAAAAGCAATCAAACAGGTGAAGGAAACAGTTCAAGATTTGAAGACTGAAATAGAGGAAATAAAGAAAACATAAACCGAGGGAACTCTGGAAATGGAAAATCTGGGTAAATGAACAAGAACTACAGAGACAAATATAACCAACAGAATACAAGAGATAGAAGAAAGAATCTCATACACTGAAGATTCTATTGAGGAAATAGACTCATTGGTCAAAGAAAACACTAAATCCAACAAATTCTTAACACAAAACATTCAGGAAATCTGGAACACCATGAAAAGACCAAACCTGAGAATAATAGGGGTAGAAGATGGAGAAGAATTCCAGCTCAAAGGCACAGAAAATATATTCAACAAAATTATAGAAACTTTCCCAACTTAAAGGATATACCTAGGAAGGTACAAGAAGCTTACAGAACACCAAAACGACTGGATCAAAAAAAGAAAACATCCCCTCGCCATATAATAATCAAAACACAAAGCATACAGAATAAAGAAAGAATATTAAGAGCTGCAAAAGAAAAAGGTAAAGTAACATATAAAGGAAAACCTATCAGAATTACACCTGACTTCTCAGTGGAAACCATGCAAGCCAGAAGGTCCTGGATAGATGTGCTGCAGACACTAAGAGACCATGGATACAAGCCCAGACTACTATACCCAGCAAAGCTTTCATTCACCATTGATGGAGAAAACAAGATATTCAATGACAGAAACAGATTTAAACAATACACATGAATAAACCCAGCCTTACAGAAAGTATTAGAAGGAAAGCCATAACCCAAGGAAGCTAACTACACTCACAATAACACAGGGATCGGATAACCCACCACCAGCATAGCCCATAGAAGGGAAACACACAAACATGACTACCAAAAGATAACCAGAGCCAACAACCACTGGTCATCAATATCACTTAATATCAATGGTCTCAATTAACCTATAAAAAGACACAGGCTAAGAGAATGGATATGTAAACAGGATCCAGCATTCTTCTGTTTACAAGAAACACACCTCAACCTCAAAGACAGACACTACCTTGGAGTAAAGCATTGGGAAAAGGTTTTCCAATGAAACTGATCTAAAAAACAAGCAGGTGTGGCTATTCTAATATCTAATAAAATTGATTTCAAACTAAAATCAATTAGAAGAGATGGAAAAGGACATTTTTATACTCATAACAGGAACAATTCATCAAGATGAAGTCTCAATCCTGAATATCTATGCCCCTAATTCAAGAGTAACCACATATGTAAAAGAAACATTACCGAAACTTGAATCGCACATCAAACCCCACACACCAATAATATGAGATTTCAAAACTCCTCTCTCAACAATGGACAGGTCAAACAGAGAGAAACTTAACAGAGAAATAAGAGAACTAACAGATGTAATGAATCAAATGGACTTAAGAGACTTTTATAGAACATTCCACCCAAACAAAAAAGAATATACCTTCTTCTCAGCACCTCATGGGACCTTCTCTAAAATTGATCACATTCTCAGTAACAAAGCAAACACCCACAGATACAAAAAATTGAAGTAATCCACTGTGTCTTATCAGATTGCCATGGAATAAAGTTAGAATTCAACAATACTGCTCCCAGAAAGCCTATAAACTCACGGAAACTGAACAGTCAACTACTGAACCACTCCTGGGTCAAGGAGAAATAAAGAAAGAAATTAAAATCTTCCTTGAATTCAATGAAAATAAAGACACAACATATCCAAACCTATGGGACACCATGAAAGCAGTGCTAAGAGGATATTTCATAGCATTAAGTGCCCACATAAGGAAAATGGAGAAAGCTCACATCAATGACATGACAGCATGCCTGAAAGCTCTAGAAAAAAAAAGAAGCAGACTCACCCGAAAGGAGAAGAAAACAGGAAATAATCAAGTTGAGGACTGAAATCAACAAAATAGAAACACAGAAAACAATCCAAAGAATCAATGAAACAAAGAGCAAGTTCTTTGAAAAAATCAACAAGACTGACAAACCCTTATCCAAACTAATCAAAAGGCAGAGAGAGAATATTCAAATTAACAAAATCAGAAATGAAAAGGGGGGCATAACAATGGACATTGAGGAAATTCAGAGAATCATTAGGTCCTACTACAAAAATCTATACTCCACAAAACTGGAAAATGTAAAAGAAATGGACAATTTTTTTAGATAGATACCACCTACCAAAATTAAATCAAGACCAGGTGAACAATTTAAATAGACCTATAAACTGTGAGGAGATTGAAGCTGCCATCAAAAACCTCCCAACCAAAAAAAGCCCAAGGATGGATAGTTTTAGTGCTGAATTCTACCAGAACTTTCAAGAAGAGCTAATACCTACACTCCTCAAAGTGTTCCACATAATAAAAACAGAAGGTTCATTTCCAAACTCTTTTTATGAAGCTACAGTTACCCTGATACCAAAACCACACAAATACTCAACAAAGAAAGAGAATTACAGACCAATCTCACTCATGAACATGGATGCAAAAATTCTCAATAAAATTCTGGCAAATTGAATCCAAGAACACATAAAAAAAAATCATCCATCATGACCAAGTAGGCTTCATCCCAGAGATGCAGGGCTGGTTCAACATACGAAAATCAATCAATGTAATCTACCATATAAATAAACTGAAAAAAAAAACATATGATCATTTCATTGGATGCAGAAAAAGCATTTGACAAAATTCAACATCCCTTCATGATAAAGATCTTGGAGAGATTGGGGATACAAGGATCATATTTAAATATAATAAAAGCAATACACAGCAAGCCGACAGCTAACATCAAATTAAATGGAGAGAAACTCAGAGATTCCACTAAAAGCAGGAACAAGACAAGGCTGTCCACTCTCTCCATATCTCTTCAACATAGTTCTTGAAGTTTTAGCAATAACAATAAGACAACATAAGGAGATCAAGGGGATTCAAATTGGAAAGGAAGAAGTTAAACTTTCGTTATTTGCAGATGATATGATAGTGTATATAAGTGGCCCCCCAAACTACCAGAGAACTCCTACAGCTGATAAATACCTTCAGTGAAGTGGCAGGATACAAGATCAACTCAAAAAATTCAGTAGCCCTCCTACACACAAAGGATAAAGAAGGTGAGAGGGAAATCAGAGAAACATCACCTTTCACTATAGCCACAAATCACATAAAATATCTTGGGGTAACACTAACAAAGGAAGTGAAAGATCTATTTGACAAGAAGTTATGTCTTTGAAGAAAGAAATTGAAGAAGATACAAGAAAATGGAAAGATCTCCCATGCTCTTGGATAGGAAGGATCAACATAGTAAAAACTGCAATCTTACCGAAGGCAATCTATAGATTTAATGAAATCACCATCAAAATCCTAACACAATTCTTCACAGACCTTGAAAGAATGATACTCAACTTCATATGGAAAAACAAGAAACCCAAAATAGCCAAAACAGACCTATATAATAAAGGAACTGCCGGAGGCATTCCCATCCCTGACTTCACGCTCTACTAAAGAGCTACAGTAATGAAAACAGTTTGGTATTGGCATAAAAACAGAGACATTGACAAATGGAATCTAATTGAAGACCCAGATATTAATTCGCATACCTATGAACACCTGATTTTTGAAAAAGAAGCAAAAAGATACAATGAAAAAAAGAAAGCATCTTCAACAAATGGTGCTGGCATAACTGGATGTCAACCTGTAGAAGAATGAAAATAGATCCATATCTGTCACCATGCACAAAACTCAAGTCCAAATGGATTAAAGACCTCAACATAAATCTGACCACACTGAACCTGATAGAGAAGAAAGTGGGAAGTAACCTTCAATGCACGGGCACAGGAGACCACTTCCTAAATATAACCCCAGTAGCACAGATAGTAAGAGCATCAATAAATAAATGGGAACTCCTGAAACTGAGAAGCTTCTGTAAAGCAAAGGACACAGTCAATCAGACAAAAAAAGGCAGCCTACTGACTGGGAAAAAACTCTTCACCAACCCTCCATCAGACAAAGGACTGATCTCCAAAATATATAAAGAACTCAAGAAATTAGACATTAAAATTCTAAATAACCCAACTAAAAAGTGGTGTACTGAACTAAACAGAGAATTCTCATCAGAATAATTTCAAATGGCCAAAAGATACTTAAGGACATGTTCTTCATCCTTAGCTATCAGGGAAATGCAAATCAAAACAACTTTGAGATACCATCTTACATCTGTCAGAATGGCTAAGATCAAAAACATTAATGATAGCTTATGCTGGAGAGGTTGTGGGACAAGGGGAATACTCATCCATTGCTGGTGGAAATACAAACTTGTGCAACCACTTTGGAAATCAGTGTGGCGGTTTCTCAGAAAACTGGGAATCAACCTACCTCAGGATCCAGCAATTTCACTCTTGGGAATAAACCCAAAAGATGGTCAATCATACTACAAGAGCATTTGTTCAACTATGTTCATAGCAGCATTATATATAGTAGCCGGAACCTGGAAACAACCTAGATGCCCCTCAACTGAAGAATGGATAAAGAAAGTGTGGTACATCTACACATTAGAGTACTACTCAGCAGTAAAAAATAATGACATCTTGAATTTTGTATGCAAGTGGACAGAATTAGAAAACGTTATCCTGAGTGAGGTAACCTAGACTCCCAAAAATGAATATGGTATGTACTCACTCATAAGTGGATACTAGTCATAAACAAAGGGCAATGAGCCTATAGTTCAGGATCCTAGAGAAACTAAGTAATAAGGTAAACCCAAAGAAAAATATATACAGACCACCCTGGAAATTGGAATCAGACAAAAATTTGGGAGCAGGGGGAGCAGGAGGTAGAAGGAAAGGGAGAAGGGGGTTTGAAGAGAATTTGAGGGAATGGGATAGTCGAGATGGAGGAAGGACAGATAGATATGAGAGCAAGGAAAGAGATATCTTGATTGAGGGAGCCATTATGGAGTTAGCAAGAAACCTGGCTCTAGAAAAATGTCCAAGAACCCACAGGGATGAACCCAGCTGAGACCCTAAGCAATAGAGGAGAGGGTGTCTGAACTGACCTTACCCTGTAGTCAGACTGATGATTTTCTTAAATATCACCAGAGAACCTTTGTCCAACAACAGATGGGAACAGAGGCAATGACTCACATCAGAGCACTGAACTGAGCTCCCAAGATCCATTTGAAGAGTGGAAGGAGTGAGAGTATGAGCAAGGAATTCAAGACCATGAGGGGGTCATCCACTGAGACAGTTTGCTTGAGCTGATGGGAGCTCACCAACTCCAACTGGATTGGGGGTGAATGAGCATGGCAACAACCAAGCCACTCTGAAGGGGGTTGATAACTAGAGCAGACTGAGGGGCCCACTGATAGTGACACTGGGATGTACCAGCTTCATGGGATCCTATTCTCTTTGGATGTTAACCTTGCTCAACCTAGATGTAGTAGGGAGGTCCTTGGACTTTCCACAGAACGGGGTGCATAATACTTCCTTAGGGTTGGAGAGGTGGGAGAAGGGTCTGTGGAGGGAGAGGAAGGGGACTGGGAGGAGGGAAGGGAATGGAAATTTGGACTGTGTTTTTTAAGTAATAATAAAAAAAGAAAGACACTATTTCATCATCCCTTGGTATCTGATGTAGGTGGGTCTTCTTTCTATGTGTTGATTTCATTGGTTAATTAATAAAGAAAACTGCTTGGCCTGATAGGTCAGAACATAGGTAGGTGGGGAAGACAGAACAGAATGCTGAGAAGAAGGGAAGTGGGTCAGACGCCATAGCTCTCCTCTCCAAGATGGATGCAGGTTAGAATCTTCCTGGTAAGCCACCATCTCGTGGTGCTACACAGATTACTAAATATGGGTTAAAGCAAGTTGTGAGAATTAGCCAATAAGAGGCTGGAACTAATGGGCCAGCCAGTGTTTAAATGAATACAATTTGTGTGTTGTTATTTCGGGTGTAAAGCTAATCATGCTGGAGCTGGGCAGAATGAAAAGCAGGCCTGCTCACCTCATCACTACAGGTATCCTCAAGGAACTGGCCCTAGGACTCCCACGGAAATAAAGATCTAGAGCTGTAAGAGTCTTGTATATATAAAATGGGGAACAGTGTTTTCATATGCCCTGTGCATATTCTTTCATGATTACATGATCTTCAGGTCACTTACACTCAATACAATATAAATATATATACACAGTTGTTACACTTTATTGCTTAAGGTATAAAAACAGGTAAGCAGTTCAACATAGATACAATGTGTTGCCATATTTTTTTGATCTACAGTTTATTGAGACCAGTAGTGCAGAAACCACAGACACAGAGGGCCAATGGTACAAAAGAAACTGGAAAGTATCAGGTCCTTTTTATTCTAATATATATGAATAAAGCCTGAGACTCTGTATATTTTAAATTTTCTTTGCTAATTTTTGTGTATCCACTATTTAGCCACCAGTGCTTAAATGAGTGCCAACAACTGCGGCCATCATAAGATGGGGCTTACCTAGGTGTCAAGCACTATGATACTATGGCCAAATTAACAATTTTATTCCTTCTGAAAACCAATTCCAAAACTAACCCAGAAAGAAATCCTTAAGAATAATCAGAAAAAAAGTCATACAACAGTAATTAAGGATAGTCCTAATATATGGTAAAATCCTAGAAATCTTGAATCACTACATGAACAATAAAGTCAATTTTTAAAAAAAAATCTAAGATAAATGACATCAGCAGAATTTTCAGTAGAGTCTTAAGACAAATGGACAGATATACAATAGTGGTTCCTTCCAAACACCTTAAGTCAAGTTAAAAATCTAACCGGACACTAGATGAAAGATTCAAATACTAAAAACACTTTTAATAGCACCAAGAAAATATAAAATAATTATTATGTTCTTAGAATAAAATGGATAATACTAAAAATATAAAAACTCAGAAGTTCTTTGGTCACCAGATTTCAGTACAAAAATTAGCTATTCCTTAATGGTAAACAAGTATATATGCATGTGCTCATATCTATGTGTATATACTACACATTTAAACAGAAAAGGAATAGTTTCTTCATTATATGAAGTGCAATTAATATGAGAAATAATAAGAAAAAATTGGGGTAAGAACCACATGAAATAGGCAATGTTTTAAAATATGGAAAGATAATTCTGTATCTAAAAATACAGAAATGACAAATCATCAACCAAAGTCATGATGGATAAATTTGAAAACATGATAGCCCAAAATACTGTTTTTTAGGAATTTGTTCTTTAAAAAGACAAATGTATAATATACATATGAAGGATGTTTGATATTTAAAAAGCAGAAAATAGAACAGACTAAATGTCCTGGAACTATTACAAGAAATGAAGACGCTTGGTATGTGATTAACTCAAAGGTTCAGCTGTAAATACTGGTCATATGAATGAAAACTGTCTGTCATAGGAAAGACTCTTTAAAGAGGTAGACACATGAATACAGAACACCCCAATACTTTATGCTTACAGGACAAGCCTATAGTCAAAGGGGACTTAGGGGGAAGTTGGGGGAGGAGAAAGGAGCATATCTACATATTTTATACCTTTTTATGCTAAGTTGATTATTTTTACCATGTACATCTATTATTTTTAAAATACGATATTTAAAAATACAAGCAATGCACTTCGCAAAAAGGAAGAAAAAAGCAAAAGGAACTTTTGGTTGTGGTATAGAAAAGAAAATTATAAACTTTTCTTTAGACCAACATATTTACCAAAAACTCACGGATGATATCATATTCATCTTTTTTCTGGAGCATTTTCAGACAATCCCTCATAGCAGACTGTGAAGGGTGGTTGAACATTAATGGTCGGATCTGTGCCAACTGAGTCAGCTCCTTTTCAGAGACAGTTGTTTTAACGTCTGAGGAACAAAAAGGACCACATTTCTAAGTTCCACGTAGTTACTGAAGAGTTATTCTTTATTTCTCGGATTTTTTTTCCTCTATAAATACAAAGCTTTAAACTTCAACAGAAGTTTACCTTTCCAGAAACACCTCTTACTTTTAAATAGACTACCATTGTTTTCGAGAAAATATGCTACCTACCTTGAGATGATGGAAAACCCATTCAGTGGTATGGCAGACACAGTAGACTGAAGCATATTCTGTCTTGTAATATGAATGTGGTATGTAGATTGACAACTACATGAAGGGATATGCATATGACTTCAGACTAAGACAAAAACAAAGCTCCTTACCCTCCATGGATTTAGTATTTGGAATATTTAGAAGTATTTGTATGTCCCTAGAGTCTAAAGAAGAGGATGCAGAGAGTCTAACACATGTCTCAATCTACTAAAATAGATCAAACAACACAAAACACATCAAAAGACAGAGTGGGTCTAAGTATTACAACCCACAAGACAGAATAGCAGATATACATCACACATAACAACAATAGAATAGTATGTTCTTTATCAAATAACACATATGGAATCCATGATTTTATAATGACCTTTAGGTCACACTGTCAAGTATAAGTGCCAAATATCTGAAATTGTACAAGCATCATTTGAGGGTCAAAATGCAGTAAGTCTAGAAGTTCATAGTAAAATATAATTTTTAAGTTTCACAATTTTAAGGTAAAATATTGAAGTTCTTAAAAATCTCTTTCCAAAGAAAACAAAAATTGCAAGAGAATAAAAATTAAGTTACTTCTAATAATACATAAAAATCAATTAAACAAAAGAAGGAGATGACCATTTCCAAGAACCTCAACAACCTTGGGTAGGTCATCTTGTCTTGTAACCACACACAATATAACCAGAATCCCTTTAGAGGGGCAGGAGAAAGAGGTTATTATTTAGTTAACAGCAATAGAAACCCTACAGTTCTTTATGAATGCCTGTAGCAACAGTGAGAGAGGCAGTATAAGCAATCCATAAGGGGAAATGTGATTCTCACAACAACAGAGGCTATTTTGATTACCTTTTAACCACAACAAAGATAAGCAAAAATATTGAAGTCTTGGAGATTCCAGTTGAATGACATATCATATCTTATTAAATCCAAAGACATATGGTCATCTTGACAGATGAAGATAAAGCATTTAGTAAAATGCAACATCCTATCATGGTAAAACAAAACATTTAAACCCTAGATAAAAATTTAAGAAATGTACCGTAGTACAATATAAAGTTACACATTATAATCTGCAACAAACATCCTGAAATGAAGAGCTAAAAGATTTTACTGAGAAGTCATGAATGAGATAATGTCCATTTTCATACTATTATTCAACACAGGATCCAGTGAAAAGATAAAATGGCTTTGTAAAACAAGTAAGGAGAAAGTCAGAGGTTACTCATTAATAAATGGCATGATTTATTAATGGAAAACCATGAGCTTTTCTCCTAAAACAAAATTTGTCAGAACTGATATATTTACTAAATTTACAGGATACAAAATCAAAAGACAAAAAATGTAATTTTATAAATAAAAAATTTGTTGATCAAGAAATTAATAAACAAGCCTATTCATGGCAGCCAAAATAAAATAATCTAGTGGCATATTTAACCAAGGAAGTTGAGTTGATCTCTACAACAAAAAACTATAAAATATTAATGAAGAAAATGATCAGGATATTGAAAAGTGAAAAGACCTCCTGTATCCTTGGACTGGATAAGCCAATATTGCTAACCAAAGCAATTTACAGACATAATGTGATATCTAGAAAAATGCTAATGGCATTCTTCATTTATATTTATGGTTGTGAGCCTAGCCTTTAACGGCTGAGCCATCTCTCCAGCCCAATGGCATTCTTCATATAGGAATAGAAAAAAATCTAAAATTCACATGGAAGCAAAAAATATGCCTATTGGCTAATCAATCTTGAATAAAACAAGGCCATAAAAATTTGAATATCTGACCTTTACATATTACAAGACTATATAGTAAACAAAACATGATACTGTCACAAGAAAGGGCACACAGCAATGAAACAGATCACAGAAATTAATCCATAACATCTAAAGACAAATCATCCTCAACAAAGTTTTTGAAGTACACACTGGAAAGTAATAGTTTCTCTAATGCATAATGCTGAGAAAACTAAATGCATACACAGAAGAACGAAGTCATCTTCCACCGTCTGCAAAAATCAACTCCAAATGGACTAAATGCTTAAATGTATGACCTTAAATTACAAAACTATTTACTTCAAGAAAGCTTAAAGAAGTCTTTCAAGAAATTCATATAGACAACAACTTTTTGGATAAAGACCCCTAAATGCTGTGCAAAACTGCTAAATTAGGTCTGTTATTTCTCATGCAGAGAAGTAAGGTGAAACTAGATTAAAAACCTTAATTTAAAACCTGAAAAGCTGAGGCCACTAGATGAAAACATGGGACAGAGATAGACAGAACATTGAGAACATAACACCAATAGTACAGAAAATAGACTCAAGAATTCACAAATGGGTTTAAATAAAATAAAAAGGGTCCAAAGTGAGGATACAACCTAGAGAACAGGCGAAAACTCTTTGCCAGCCACACTTCAGACAAGGTATTAATATCTAGAATATGTAAAGAATGACAAAAAATGAACTCCCTTGAACAAAACTGCCAGGTCAGTGAACTGGCCAGATATTTCTCAAAAGAAAACACAGAAATGTCATAACATAAGTATTTTTGAAGTGTTCCACATCCTTAGACATCAAGGAAACATAAATCCACTTTGAGAATCCACCTTTCCCCAATAAGAATGGCTATTATCAAAACGAAAACAAAACAACAAACAAAAAACACTAGCAAGAATATAGGGAAAGAGGAACCTTATTTTTGATTGGCGGGAGTGTAAGCTGGTGCAGCTAGTCAGAAATCTGCAGTTTGTCAAAAAACTAAAAATATTACTATCATATGACCTAGCTAGACCACTTATAAGTGTATACACAAAGGACTCTACACAAGAGATACTTATCCATGTTTATGAATGTTGTCTTCTTAATATTAAGGAAGCAGAGTAAGCATAGATGTCCATCAACAGATGAACAATGTAAATGTGATATAAATACACAAAGGGAAATTATTCATGTATAAATTAAAATAAAATTATTCAATTTAAGGAAAAATATACGGAACTGGAAAATGTTATATTACACAAGGTAGCCCAGGTTTAGAAAGACAAATGCCACATTCTCTCAAATATGGATCTCAACTTTTAATTTCTTTTTGGGGGAGCAGGATCTTGCTATGTAGCTCTGGCTGGCCCAGAACTTTCTATATGGACCAGGCTGGTCTCATACTCACAGAGATCCGTCTGCCTCTGCCTCCCATTTGCTGGAATTAAAGGCGTAGGCTACCACACCCAGCTTTAATTTATATATAATGCATTGTAGTGAGGGACCATAGATGCCAAGGAACAGAACGGGGACCTGACAGGAAAAAAGAAGCTTTAAGGGGAAGCAATAGGAAAAGTAATAGAACACATGTGATATGATACTAAAAGGAGGACTACTTAGGATAGAGGGATTTGTTTAGATGTAGCAGGGTGAGGAGATGCTGAAGAGGGTAGGGGGAAGAACAATAAAACCTAGTAGGTATATAAGTGCCATAAGGAAATCTGCTACTTTATATGTAAAGAGAGATGATAAATGGACAGATGATAGACAGACAGATATATGACAGGTAACAGATATAAATGATAGATAGACAGACAGACAGACAGACAGACAGACAGACAGAAAATAAAAGCATAAAAGCAAAGGGGTGGGGGGGGGGAACAAACGAAAAGCCAAGTGCCAGGTATGTGTCACCTCTTTAGGATGTGTTGGTCAGTGAGGTTACATAGTCCTCAAACATTACCTTCTATTACAGTCTACTGCCAATGTTCTTGGTGACGTTTTAGAACTCGACAGTTAAGACCTTATTGCTTTTGTTACCGCATCGTTTGGATATGGGTCATGGAGAAATCATGTTGGTCCTCACCTGGAAGCCTCACCCCTACTAGATAGCATTCATAGTGTTGAAAGGTATGGTGTAGGCTACCAGAAGAGGTCACTTTGGAATACTTAGCTCCAAACAGGACAGATATATTACATTCCTGTTTTGCAAGGCTTGTTTAAGAGGGTATAGAAAGATCATAAAAGCAAGAAGCTGTAGGTGACTACAAGGAAACTCTGTTTTCCAGACATAGCAGGGTGACTGCATGTATGAACTCACAGTGGTTGTAACACCACACACAAAGTCTGTGCAAGCTCAAGCCAGATAAAGTCCCATCATGGAGCAGGTAGGTAGGCATGAAGTTCTACCCCTAGCTGAGTATCCAGCTGCAAAAGTTGGGCGAGGACAGTAAGCTGTAATACTGTGGCCCCCGATAGGTCTAAAATCACACATCCAAGAGTATATGGATAGCAGAAAATTGACTTAATTAGTTTGAAAAATGAAGAGGACATGATTTTAAGTGTGTAGGGAAGAAAGGCAGATCTGAGAGAAGCTAGCAGAGGGAGGTGAATATGATCAGAATACATACATAAAATTCTCAGAGAAAAATTGCAAAAACATTACAAAAAGTGTCCCATTTCAAAATGGAGAAACAGGAGCATAGCAAGGAAAAATGGGACCAAAGTAAAACTCAAGCCTAGCAGGCAAACATCAAACCCATGTCCAGAAATGGGGTCCCTCATGAACTGTCAGATGACCTGGGGTAGCCTTGCCCTTCTAGTTCTTCTCTCTCTCTCTCTCTCTCTCTCTCTCTCTCTCTCTCTCTCTCTCTCTCTCGGCTTATTCCCGTGGCATTCTTCAAACTTTGCCTGAGTGGACATCCTGATGTTTTCAACCACCTGAGGACTCCAATACAACTTGGGCTTCACCCTGACAGCTTCTTCCGGCAACTGTTTGTCAGAGTCTCCAGTAGAGAATTGAATTCTTTAACACATTTGCTTGCTGTACCAGGCATTTTCTTTTGAGCCAACAACCAGATCCCAAATCATGACATGGAGAGTTAATTTTAGTTATAAATGCTCAGTCTAATTTAGGCTAGTTTCTGACTGGCTCTTTCAACTTAACCTATTTCTCTTTATCTACCTTTTGCCTCAGGGATTTTTATCTTTCTTTCTACATATATTACTCTGTGTGTGCTGGCTGGCAGCTGCCTGGCTGGCCCCAGGCATCTCCCTCCCTTTCTCCACTGTTCTCCCCTCTTCTTTTCCTCTCATCCTACTTGAGCCTAGATTTCTCCTTATTTTTATTCTCTCTGTCCACTAGCTC